CAAGAAATAATTAGTTGCTTTAAGTGTAAATATTTGGCTATGTAAAAATAGGATATGTTAGGAACATTTGAGGTTAAAGGAGTAAATTTTAGATTGCTTTTTAACTGTAGCAGCCCTATTACAGTTAACATGGATGCAAATATGTCTGGCTCACAGCAGCATGTTCTAATTAGATAACTTAGGTCGGGAGCATGAGTTTACTAATCATAACTGCAAAAAGAAGGAAATGAAATGTAATATACAATTTGCTAGCAATGATTAACCATTTAGAATGTTTTTGAAACATACATGTGTCCTTTGATATTGCTAATGGCATGCAATTGCTTTTGGAATATTAATTTGTTTTAGGATACTGTTAATGGCTTTCATTACTAACATTGCCCAGCTTCATACCTGTGGCATTGTTTAAGACTGCGTGAATGCACAAGTTCTTGCATGTAGGCATTTGCCAATGGTAGGCTTTTTTTGCAGTAATTCCAAAATTGTACCAGCTAATTTAGTGGTGCAGTCAGCTTCCGTTCAACTTCAGTTGCACTGGAAAAATAGCTCCGAATGTTTGAACATTCAAATTAGCCAGAGCATAGAATGTAGGGGCCCTTCGGGACTTTTGAGCACATAACATAAATTTGAAAACACATTAAGCTCACTGATGACAAATTACCAAAGTCAGCTGCATATGTAATAAAAGAGTTTAAAGGAGCATTAATTGCTGCCCATCATGGTGGATCAGTGGCTAAGGTGCTCGACTGCTGGCTTGAACGTCCTGGCTGCGGCAGGTCGCATTTCGTCAATGGTAGAGGCCTGTGTACTGCACAATGTAAGGGCATGTTAAAGAACACCAGATGGTCGAAATTGCTGGAGTGCTTCACTACAGTGTCTCCTATAATCATATCCTAGGTTTTGGGACATGAAACTCCAGATATCAGTCATAATTAACCTTAATTGCTTTATTGCTCACTGGCTGCATTCTTTTTCTTCACCATGTCTGTTGTCTTATCACAATCACGCATGCAGATAACAAAAGAAGAGCACCGCTTGGACAGCCGCCAAGAGACGCATCACCATATTGAGCACCAAAGGATTCGGACAAGCGAGACTAGCAGTGAAGCTAGAACAGTGCAAGGAACAAGGCAAGCAGGTCCTCCCCCTGTTGCTCCCAGAGGAGGAGGTGACATTGCTCAAGTGAAGATATCGGGCGAGGCACTCAAGCTTGTTTCCTGTCAAGCAGCCTGCAACATTCCGCATCAGCGCTCCTGACTTTGACCGAGACGACTTCCAGGTTACAATCACTGGTAGGTGAATAAATAGCTCACCTGAAAAATCTTATCACCATGCCACCCCTTTTTCTTTATTCGACTTTTCCTTCACATTACCTTGATGATGAGCAGCTGTGTCGAAAGCAGCTGCACAGGCTGATCTCCCAGCTTCACAATATTGTCAGACCTCCAAAAATTTTTTAACCGTCGCTCTAGCATAAAAATGTATAAGTAGGTTAAAATTCATTGGAAGCGTTAGCTGCTTGTTTGGAAGAGATGGGCACATAATGGTTCAGTCTCTTGGGTAAGTCAAATCTTCAGTCCTAGGCACCTGTGAGCTGTCTCTTTGGATTAATGCATCATGGATATTGGCGAATTAACAAATTACATACAAAGCTGCCCATACTCTCAGCAGTAATTGTGATACCGTATTTACTCGATTCTACCGCGCCCTCGATTGTAACGCGCACCCGATTTCCACCGCGAAAAAAAAAAACGTAAGAGATCGATTGCAACGCGCACCGATTTTTCTTGCTGGCCCGCACGATCACACCACTCGAAAAAACTACTCTTTTCGGGAGCGTCTTCCATTTAAATATGAGGTACGAGCGAAGCTTGTGCCCATCTGACGTGTAACAGAGCTTTGCCGTCACTGTAGTTTTACCGTGGACCGATGTCAGCACGCGAACTTGCTTTGCCCCCTTCTTCTCGACGGTTGTGGTGCCAGGCATGTCGAAGTAAAGAGGCGTCTGATCGGCATTCCCGATTTGCCCAAGCAGGTAGCCGTTGTTGCGTCGCAAGTTTAGGACGAACCTCTGAAAACTGTGAAGCTTTTCATCGTACTCTTCCGCAAAACTTTTCGCATGTGCATGTTCCCCTTCGGAGGGAAAAGCCTTTCCTCTTCATAAAGTTAGTTAGCCAGCACCTGCTCGCTTTAAACTGGCTCCGCATTAGACCTTTTTCTAAGACTAATTGCATAGCCCGCACTTGGAGCAGTTCTGTCGTCACGGGCCGCTGTGCCGCTCGCTGCTCAAGCACATACTCGCCGAGCAGCTCTTTAATTTGCGGAAACCGACCCTGCTGTGGTCCACTGAAGCCTTTGTGTGAAGCTTTGCTGTCGACAATCTTCTGCTTTTGTTTCCGCCGATCCCGCACGCACGTTTCGGGAACTCTGAACGACCGCGATGCGGCCTGATTTCCGTCCGTTTCTGCACACGCGATGACTTTTCTTTTAAAAGCGGCATCGTGGTGCACTCGAGTTTTTGGAGTCGGCCCTTCCACGCCGTCGATGCTAATGCACTACTAGATGACGAACTCCTCAGCACATGTACGAAGTGCCGCACATGGGAAACACATAGGCAGAAATGGCTGACGCGCCATGCTGACGCACGTAGGGGGCGGCCATTTTGGATTTGCCAATGGCAATAGATTGACCGTAATTTTTTGTTCGTACTCGATTCGAACGCGCATGCGATTTATGAACTCGCTTAACCGGAAAAAAAGGTGCGCGTTAGATTCGAGTAATTATGGTACTTGCAAAAGGGACTTGGTGACTCATCAGTGGCTGTAATGACTACTTATTTTTCCATCTTTTGCAATTTATGGGAATGCATAAACGTACAATGTACATTCAAACTTCGTCTATAAGTGCCTGCTTGATCACCATTTGCACTGTCTCTTGCTAATCTTAGTAATACAGCAACTATCTCTTAAAGCAGCACATGGCAAATGATCAGAGACCTGACAGCTTTTATAAGAGCTGTTAACATGATCGTCTCTTAGGTATTCCCTACAGATAAAAAAATGAAGCTACAAACGTTATAAGCAAATTTGTGTATCTTTAATTTATATAACACCGTACATATTTTTCAGAATGGATGCTAATGTCTTCTTACAGCTCTGTGATGACAGAAACTATTGAACGGATTACTCTATTCAATGTTTATATGCTTTTGTGTGTGTGTATTGTAGGCAGCTTTAGCGATTACGTACATAGAAGTTGATGATGTTATGCTTGTTCACAGAAAAATTGCTTGATATATTTGAGTGTTCAATGATTTCACTATTAGGAACACTCTTGTCTCGTATAAAGTCATATCTTAATCTCGTTTCCGTGACTGACTGAGTGCTTGCATTCTTGTTTCATCAAATTAGCCCCCACTGGCCGAGAGTTTCCTGTGCACATGGATGTGCCACATCCTGGAGAGATGGACGTTGAGTTCATCACATCCTGAAGTTGGTGAACACGTCATTGAAGTGAAGCTTCAGGGACGACCACTGCCAGGGAGCCCCTTCCGCAGCCATGCGTTTGATGCCACCAAAATAAAAGTAGGGGACGTTCCCAATGGAGTGGTTGGACATCCCGTTGAGTTTGAGAGTAAGTGCACTTGCAGTGCTTTCTGCGTCAGTAATATTGCTAGAGATTTTGAATTCTTGTTTGACATCGTTTGTTTCATAGTTTGCACATCATTTCATAATTTAATAGCCGATGCCTTTGCATTACTTTATTTGTAACATTTTGCCTGCTTTCTGGCTTCTTTTTGTGTAATTGTATTTGTTAGCCTGGCTGTGTATTCAGTGAGTTTACTTAAAACATATACAGTGAGCTTGTTTAGAATTTTAATCTGTTTAATAATACATTGCTTTTATTATCATATTGTAATTTTATTCAGTGAAGCATTAGCGCAATGCTGCTATGCTATCCAAGAGGACTGGCAGTACCGAAAATATGTGCTTTAAAGCGTAAGAGTGTTTTTATTGCATGCATCAGTGATGACTGAGAAATGATTGTTAGCAGTGAATTCTTTATTTACCTCGTGTTGAATGAATGCCTTAATTGTCAGTTTCAGAGAACTGTGCTATGGCTTTTAGTGGCTTTTCAGGTGTATGGAGACACTGAATGTGCCCTGAAGCACTTATTTTCACAATGTGATGGATGTAAATTTGTTCCTCTTTTATGCAGCCAACCACACTTCTGCTACCTGCAGTTCATGTCTACTTTATGCACGCGTTCAAATGCATCCAGATTTTTTATCTTCTAACTGTGATCTCTTGTTGCCCACTTACAATGTTACAAAGCTCATTTTCAATACCTTCAATTTACATTCATTAATCTCTGTATTGTACAATTTAAATGTGTATTATACACACCCATTTAACTGTGTGTACCGTATTCACACGATTGTAAGTTGACTCGAATGTAGGTCGGCGTCTGAAAATGGCACAGCTTAAAAAAAAAAGAAAAGAGCACGAGCACATTATACATTAAAAAAAAGTTTTTTAACACATCGTAAAGCCACTGATGTGCGAAGGTGGCTTCACGGCATGTGCTTGAAAGCTGTGCAGAAAGAGCTAGTTTTGCAAAAATATAGTACAGATTATTTTTAGAAAGACTTCACTACCGAAACTCGTTTTCGATTATAGGTTGACCCCCCAACATTGCATTGTCAAATTTGAAAAAATGGGTCAACCTATATTTTGTTTAAATACTGTACTATGAATTTTACATTACGAAAAAAAATGTATTCTATTTGTTTGATATATGAAGTTAGGTGCTTTTATGTAGGGCTTGCCAACTTGTTCTATGGTAGTTATATGTTCTCCTCGTTGCTATGTCTCCAAAGTACGGTCTTCACTGTATAAGCAGCATGTTGCATAAGGCACACGTTATATTGGTCCTACTGTACTCAGGTTCAACTTGATATGACGGCTTTGTACTTATGTGTACCCTTGTTCCTAACTGTATACACAGTTTAATTATTCTTTATTTGCTGTACTTATGGTATATTACAAAGGTGTTCCTTTACATCAATGCAATCACTCCCCTTGACAGTTGATGGTGCTGAAGCTGGTTCGGGCAACCTCGAGATCATGGTAAATGGCGACCACGTCACAAGCCACGTCAAACCCCTCGGTGGCCACCGCTTCCTTGCCTCATTTGTTCCTCGTACAGCCACTGTGCACACAGTTGAGATGAAGTTCAATGGCGAGAAAGTTCCAGGTGAACTAATCTTTCTTTTTGGTCTATCTTCAGATATTTTCGAAAGTATAGAACAGCTTTTAATTTTACAACCAACTTTTCCTAATTATTCTGTTGTGTTGCACAATGTATGAGTAATGTACATACCCTAGGTCTTGTAGCAAAAAAAACACTAGTTAAAGAGCATTACTTAGTATCTTTTAAGGGGAAGAAGTGGTAATGGGAATAATAAATTTGATCAAAATAAGCAGTAAAAGTTGGGAAAAAGGCATATTACTAGTGTGCTGTCATCAAAACCTACGAGAAAATTTCATTTTAGGAAATGCAAATTCGTAGACTTTCCAAGGCATAGCGCCACCATATTGGCATCATTGTAAGAGGACAGATGAGAGCTCACGAGGGCCACAAATCTGTATTTGTCGAATGAGAAATCAAGCCAGCTTCCTTCTCAGTTCAGTTTTCTCAGATTTGAGCTCCATCTTCTTCTAGGTTCATTTTCTCATCTTTCATTCTTTGAGCAATTGCTGTCGGTCATCGCGGTGCTATTTCAGAACAAATAAAGGTAACCATGTTTTCCGCCCTTAAATTCCCGGACATTGGCGAGTGCCATAAAGCTGCCCATATTTGTCTGCACACCATTAAGATTCTTATAATTAGTTTCTTGTAAAGGTTGTTAGTGAGACGATATGTACAGGACAGTTCAAATTTTTTTCTGTGCTTATTTAAGTATTAAAAAATAAAACAATAGTTTTACGCCATGGAACCCTTTTAAGGGTTCCATGGCGTAAAGTATCCCTTTTAAGTATCCTTGCACAAAACCATACCTGCCAACTCTCCCGAATTGTCTGGGAGACTTTCGAATTATGACCTAATCTCTCAATTGTATGAATGCAATCTCTAATTTCCCGAAAAGTGACCGCTGCAGCAGAGCCATTTTTTTTTAATCACACACGTACGTCAGCCTTTTCTGCTGCGATAGTTGCAATGCTGCAGAGCACTTGCCACTGCACTTCTAGTTCATTGTAACCATACTGTAGAGCACGGCTAAGTATATTCTAGGCACCGTAGTACCGTGCATCTGGGTGAAGGCCAGCGGTCGCAAGACCCGGTCCCCACCATAGTGAAAGAAGGCGACCTCAACTTTTGCATCTGTTTGCCTTGCGTGGTACGCTAGGCCTACACCGCTTCCCTAGGCGTCAGTTGTGTTTGTTACATGGTTTTAGGAGTTACGTGTTTCCCTGAGCTTAGTTGGAAGATCGATGGCAGTTTCAAAAGTAAAAAAGTAATTGCAAGTGTTTGTGGACTCTCACATAACTGAGTTTCCATGCTTTGTCAAAACTAATTTCAGTTGTGACATCACAATAACAAATCACGTCCACATCATAAAACAAAGATAGTTTTCATTGCCACAGAATTTGCCTCTACATGGTGCCTAAAGTAATTCATTTCATTAGAAGTTATAGCTTTCTTCGGACCAGGTTTGATGCATTCTAATATTTTTCACGAATTATTATTGCATTGCTGTTGTGCAGGTTCCCCGTGGAAGTGCGAGGTTCGAGACGTGCCTAAACGGGGCCCTGTGTCGGCAAGAGGCCAGGCCTTGCAGACATTCAGCTGTGGCAAGACTGCCAGCTTTGAAGTGCATGCCCCAGGCTGCAGCAAGGATGACATAAAAGTCAATATCAAAGGTGTGCATTTATAGCAGTAACTATTCTGGTCTTCCTCTTCGCACTTATCGTTACGCACAGTTATGACCGAATAAAGTTCAGCGAAGCTTTATGTCTTAAAGGCAAGTCTGTATTGTATTTAAAAAAATAACAAAGGCCCTATAACATTCAGCATACTCCAAGGATCTACACCATGCACCAAGTGCAACTACCATACTTGTGAATTTCTCAATGCCACCACCAGTGTGCCCGATTTCGGGAACCCCTTTGTTTTCGTTTTTCTGTTGTGTGATAGTAGCTTTACATACCATCAGTTATCCATTCTCTGCATGTGCATTCTAAGTGCACCACTTTTTGCCCATTTCTTCAGTCAATTACTGCTACAATAACTCAGGCATGTGTGCTTTGAATGTAAAAACTATGTGCATATGTCCTCACCTGCATTGTCAAATGAAGTGAAGAGGTTTTCGCCTTTCATGAAGTGATGTCAGCAACCACGTATCTATTCTTCTGTCATTAGGACCTGGGAAGGCAAGGATACAGCCTGTCATCGTAGAACGTCCAGACTGCTATGTCGTGGAGTTCACAGCCTTGGAAGCTGGTGAGGCAAGAGTGAATAAATGGATAAATGAATGAATTAATGAATGAATGATAACTTTATTACTGTTCTTACTGATTGCTAGCAGCTATGTTTCAATAATGTCACATAGGCTTCTATTTTTGTCAGTATTACGATACAGTAACCGCTTTGCAATGTCGTGAAGCTTCAGGCCTGCTTTGTAGAAGCTTTCATTAACACTATTAGCATCAGAAAAGTAATATATTAATAATTCTCCTGTATAATTGTCTCTCCTTTATTGCTAATGCTATTGCATGAAATAATGTGAGTTTTACTAAGAATAGTAGTGCACTAGCTGTGAATGCTTTGCCCTTTTGACAAAACACCTGCAACTTTCTGTCTTGATTTGCAGGTACCTACCAGGTTGAAGTTATGGCTGGGAGTCAAAAAGTTCCGGGCAGTCCATTTGTGTCGAAGGCCTATGATGCTACTTGCATCACCCTTAGCGATGTCCCACAGTCCTGTGTCGTTGGCCAAACATCCCAGTTCCAAGGCAAGTGGCTCCACTCGCGAGATATGTGTCATTGTCAAGTTAAGCTGTCATTTTCACATTAATTAGCAAATACTCTTTTTTTTTTCATCCACTTTGTTTCCTCCTACTTCAAAAGACTTGTATGGCACAAAATGTAAATGTAAACTGGCATTACGAGATAGAAAAAAAAGTTTCTTTGTTGCCAATTGTCTGTCTTGAAACTTTTGATTATATGCCCTTTATTTCAGCGTTTCGGCGAGTAACATTATGTTTCGAAAGATTTTTTTTGTTGTTCATAACGCTCTTGTTGAAGTGTTCTGTTGCTGCACTAAATGCCAATGAAGTGCACACAATTCTTGGATTTTCTTCGCAGTTATGCTTTATTTCACATTTATGCACATTTGACTGCATGACACACACAAACTGGAACTACACTGTCAAGAGACTGACAAAAGTTCAAGTACCTAAGTGCACCACTTTATGGATTTATTGCTGCTTGGACTTTTTTAAAAAGACTCTAGGCACAAAATATGTGATGGTGTGAGCGTAGGAGCTTCGTGCTTCCTTTATTTGCTTTGAGCAGACACAGAATGCCTGCAGTGCAAAATGATAACTGTTCAGTTCATTTTTCTGATTTCTGTTCAGTTCATAAGGATATGTAAGCAGGCAGGGCGTTCAACAAAGATAATCAATATGGGATCGGACAAAAATTAACAAGACAGAATCAAAAGCAAAAAGAAGCAAATAATGATTAAGCTATTGCATTGTCAAAAGGCTTAGCAATATGCAAAATAAAAGGTCACAGAATGTAACAGTGAAACGCAAGTTGGGAATACAAACAGTATTAGGATAATATAAAAAAATCTTGGTTCGGAAGAGGCTGTGTAGTTTTTAGGTAAACATAACTGGCAGCAGCAGGCACTATCTGTAGTAGTAAATTCAGGTTATGTAGTGCTGGTTAGGAGCACTTGCCGTTGGTAGTTTAAAAGTAAGCTACTAACTGCATATGTTGCACAACAAATGTCTTGGAGGGTCCTTTAGTTTGGCTCGTATGACCTATGTGTAGAAGTGATCTTTAAATGGTGAAGCTAGAGCATGTGATGCCTCCACACAACAGTGCTCTTTTGTAACAGTGAAGCAATTAATAAACCTTTATGTTGAAAGAACGACAGTAACACCTAGAAGTTGTTGCCAAGGTTTGTAACCCTTCTTTAAACCGGTCAAGGTTTTTTTTTGAGAAGCCATCACGTCATTGGAAAAAGCTGATTGCAACACTGTGCAGTGGATGCATCGAGAGCTGGCGAGGGGCAGCTGGAAATATCCGTCAACAATGGCGAGGTTCCCAACCAAGTGCAGGTGCTCAACAGTGGACGGTGTCTGGTCAGCTTCAAACCTCTGCGACCTGTGCCCCACGTGGTCAGCATCATGTTCAATGGAGAGAATGTGCCAGGTATGTTGCTTACTTTCAAAACTGATCAGTGGCCTCTTGTTTGAGACTGTATGGAATTTATTCAGCTGCAGGCAACATTAAGTGTCAGTTATTACTCTGCTATCTTTAACGTTCCACTATGACTTAGTGTTATCTCAGTATTGCAGGCAGGAAGTACATACCGTATTTACTCGCATAATCCTCGCACTTTTTTTGCCAGAAGACCGTTGCAAAGTTGGGGGGTGCGAGAATTACGCGGGGAAAAGTTTCCACAAAAACGCGGAGAGCGAAAAAGAAAACGAAGTGGCCGCAAATCGGGATTCTCACACCAGCAACTTACAGCAAGCTTTAAGAAGTACCAATTAGAACTTACCTCAACAATAAAAGCAGAGGTTCAACTCAAGGCAAGATTTATTTGAGACACAAAAAGTGGAAGCAAATATTCGAGAATTAGAATACCATACGCGAAGCTTGTGGGCGTTGCGGGCGTAGCGGTAGCGGTCGGCGCTAAATAGGAGCGCTCAAAAGGTAAGCGTAGGAAGTCAGTATTGGGCTGATGGCTAGTTAACAGAATCGTCCGCAGTTTCCTTCTGAAGAAATAAAGTTTACCATCAATCCCAGTTTTAGGCACACAGCAGGCCCAACTCGTCTTGGTGGCTTTCAGCTGCCGTCACCAGTAGCGAACACAAAACCCGTAGGCTCCGAAGGGCCTACCAGCGGCCCTGTTTGCCGTTGTTTAGCGCATGATCTATCACTTGCAACTTGAAGCAGCCGTGTGGCTTCAGTATCGCCCCATAACGTGCCAAGATTACCGACACAACATACAAAACACGCCGCAAAGCGCACGGGCCACTTCGGCTTGGCTTGGATTGGATTGAATCTCCGTGCAATAGTATGCTTGATGCTTAAGAGATGGCGTGCGCTACCATCATCAATGGTTGGAACGAGCAGACAAAATTATTGCGGCAGTTTTCGGGGGTGCGATAATTACTCGAGGCAAAAAAAATCGTATTTTTTGGGGGGGCAATGTGGGGGGTGCGAGAATTATGCGAGTGCGAAGGATTACACGAGTAAATACGGTAGTTGTCACTTTGTGACGTAATCAAAATGTATTAAATCAATGTAGGTAGTTGCAGTTTTTTCTTTCATCTTCATGTCACAAAGCACTTGTGTTTACATAGTGAGGTAGAGAAAATGCAAGAAAAATGCTTTGCTATGCAGCATATTCAGGCTATTGACATAACAGGCAGTATCTTGCCAACATCTTTATTTTAAAAAAAAGATAATGTAATTATGTAAATTGGTACAGTTGCTTAGGGAGGTGCTATCACCCCCCTGTAATGTTGTCTCCACTGGATGTGTGTGTGTGTGTGTGTGTGTGTGTGTGTGTGTGTGTGTGTGTGCGTGCGTGCGCGTGCGTGCATGTGCGCGCGCGCGTGCGCGCGTGTGTGTGTGTGTGTGTGTGTGTGTGTGTGTGTGCGTGTGTGTGTGTGTGCATACAGAGAGAGAGAGACAGGAGAGAGAGGGGCTTATTGAAAGTTAAAAGTGTTAAGAAAATAATAAACAAATGTCTCTTACATAAAAAAAACTTATTTTTTTTATATTCATGCGTACATTATGCACAAGAGCCGTGCAAATGCCACAATTGTCATCCTGTGTCCCCATTATAAATGCGACCATGGTTTCAGACTCCTCTACCAGTCACTGCCCCATGATCCAAATTTTAAAGCCTGAAAGGAAAAGGAACGGACATAAACAGTTCCCTGTGAAATAGCTGCGAGACAGGATAGCCAATAGTCCATTGGCGGTGGGTGAGAGCCTAAGCCAAGTGCCAAAAAATATTCTGGCCCCGTGCTAAGCGGGGCCATGCCCCCATGATGCAGCCTGGAGGAGGCCCGAGCCTCCCAGCCCCTTCGCACTCTTCGCCTGTGTTTGCAATCATGCAAGGGGCACCGCTGCTCATGTGCTGATGTTGTCCTGTCAGCGATGTTGGTTAGGCGTACGATGACCAGCAGTGATTCTCCCTCATGGCTGGGCTCACAAGCTGGTGGTCATCTCTTGCGGGAGGTCCATGAGGATGATTCTGTGGCTTGGTCTCATGAACTCCCCTGGTGAATAGAACATTGGTGGCGCAGCATTCACGGTTACATTGCGTGTTTGTTATTAGTATGTGTTATATTGACATTTTATTCAGTTGTCTGGAATATTATTAGTTATGTCTTTGATTTCAGCTGATGAGCTCTCCGTTATATAAAAGCTGTTAATAAATGTCCACATGTTCTTGTGCATTATGGTGCATACTACTCTCCTTGTGTTTCCGAAGGCAGCTTAAGACCCTACAACAGTGGATATAATGATATCTTTCAGAAGCATATTCTACATAGCAAAAGATAACTTGCCAAGAGGTGCAACCTATACAAAATTATGAAGCATGAAACCATTGGTCAATCTGTTTAGAAAAATGCACATGCACACTTGTGCTGAGGCAATTAGAAAACTCCAACCAAAAGTTGTATTCACAAACTCGACAGTTTTGAAGCCAGGCCGGCTTCTTACTCAGGGGTGAGAAGGCCAGGGATGTGCGGCGCTTATATACAGCTTGCTTGCCTTGCGTTAGAGGTTCGCCGTGACCCGTCACAAACTCTGGCAGTAGAGGGAGGGTACTGTCCCAGTAGAGTAGCTGATGTGCCCCGCTGTCTGCTGAATGTGCCCAGGATTCGAGGAGGAGTCACCAGCGTGTGTTCTTTTCTTTTTCCAGAATCAATGCGTCGTCCGGGTGGATGTGGTGGTGTATGTATTTCCTCTGCACTGTTTCATAAGTGCTTCCCCATGTCATATTACAGTTTGTGTTGATAAACATGGGACATTCGTCGAGACACCAGAGTGAACAGAGGTAGTCTTGGGTGGCATTTGTTTCAGTGCTGCATCGCTTGCTTCATGCAGGTTGCCCAGTGGTGCTTCAAGTGTCCGACGTGAACCAGTGCTCAGTGGACCTGAGT